TTCTTAATATTGATTACGCGAAAATTATAATATGCATAGCAAAAAAAAAGAAAAGAAAAATAATAAATAAAGTAAAAATATAAAGATAAATAAAAAATAAAAATAAAATCAATACATAAATAAAAGATACAGTTTCGTACAGGATGATATGAATTTTACATTTCTAAATTTCCTCGTCTAATCCGCCACATTTGAAAAAAAGAGAAAAACGATTCTCCGCTGGTTGAACAATAAATCTCAAATACACACATGTACACGAACCACGGAAACACACGATAACAGATTGCGCTCTTAGTCCTTAAACCAGCGACTCCCCCCCCCCCTCTTCCAAAATTCTGTAAAAAATGACAAAAACAACAAATCCGTTTTCTTTGCAGAGAGTTTTCCCCGTTCTCCTGGTGGTGTGTCTGACTTCTCTCTTCGCTTACTACTACACCTCCGTCAAATCCACGCCCATCGGCTTCAGTATAGATTCTTTAGACGCGAGGGACCTTCAGAAAGTATCGACCGCCCTTCAACATGAAGAGTAAGACTAGAGTGATTTTTTTGTGATGCAAATAAAACAAAAAACAAAAAGCGGAAGGGAAGGACAAGAAAACACAAGGATGTAGCATTCTCGTGTTTTCTTGTTCTGTAATTCGTTGTTTTTCGTTGGGAATTTGTTCTGCTTGAAGCCTACGTAGTTTTGTATTTTCTTTGAGGTGTTTCTTAGTACTACGTAACCTTAGATGTCTAGCACTTTTTTTTTTTTTTTTTTTTTTTTTTTGCTTTTAACCATTAATCATTAAGGTGTTTTTTTGTGTTTCTTTGTTGATTTGTTATTATTTTATCTTATCTTAATCTATATCTGAACTTTACTGGAACGTATATCCGAATTGGGTTACATTTTCGTCATCTTATTAAACGTATATCTGTATTTTTTTGGGCTAATTTAATACATATATTTTTAAATGCTGTTACTGATTATCTCTTTGAAAGAAAAGAGTATAATCAGCAAGTTAGCGGATACTCAAAAGAGTTTACAATGCTGTATCTCGCACCGGAGCCGTTTCAGTGTCGCAAGGACTCAGAAGGCGATAAACGAAGCAAAAAAAAAAAAAAAGGCCGCCATGACGTCACACATTATAAAGGAGCTTGTAGTTTACGACTGTTCTCTGGGGCTCTCGTTAAAGATATGAAACCGGATAGAGTAAGGTTTAAAATCGTAATTATTTAGTCGACAGAAACCTTAATTTGACTATTTAATGCCTTTTGTCATATTCAAAACCGGGGAAATTGGATTGCTCTGTATTTCCTTTACTTTCCATGTTTTATCGTTATTTTGAATCAAATATTTGTTGAATATAAATTGACTTGACAGACGATGACCGTGTATTGCAGCGTAAAAGACACTATTTTAAGGAACTCTTAGATTCACTCTATGAAAACGAGGTTCATTTATTAAGATATTAAAGATATCATAGATTTGTTTTACTATAACCTTTGATGTCAAGTATCCAATTAAACAATCCATTCAAAATTATTATTCTGATGCTTCGGTTATCCTTCTGTATGTGTATGTTTACCCTGATTTACTTTCGCGTAAAATTAAAGGTTACGCATCCACGCTGTCTGTCTGCCTACCTGTCTGCCTATCTGTCTGTCTATCCGTCTATCTATGTCTGTCTGCCTGCCTGCCTGCTGTTTCAAAAAGTTTCAAAAAGTTTCTGTTCGCCATGTAATGCCCCAAAATTGTATATTACAATTAGTCAAATGTAGGACTTCTGAAACACAACATAAGAAATGGAAATAATTTCGGAATACGCAATACACGTTTGCAACATTCTATGTGCTGGGGATCAATGAGGAAGGATGTTTATTCGAATTCAGTTTTTTTGCCTGAAGAAGATGATTGATATCTCGTATTATCATTTTCCCTTTGTACATAGAGCACGTGTCATGGAAAGAAAAATTATTCAGGAAAAGAAATCATCACGGCTCATTCATTTTACACTCGGTTGAATCTTTGGAAACACCACTCAATGAGACAGTCGCTGGGCCTTGCATGGTGTTGCTGACCGTTGCAGGCGGAGGAATAAGTCAGCTGAGATTCTTGGTTTTCCATTGGTTGTTACGCGTAGCAGGCAGACTGCTGATTGGTCAGTCGACTACCGATCTGCCCTCTCTTGGCAGTGCGTGGAATTAACTTACAGTGTAAACATTGACCTTGCAATCTGCATACTACATTGTAAAACTACTTTGAGTATGAGTGGTTTACAAATTAGTAAGGAGATCGGAATATTGTAAGTATTATTATTACTGTTGCTGTTAGTATTAGTATTGTGATTGTTATTTTTATTGTGATAATTATTATTATTACTGTTATTTTATTATTATTATTATTACTATTATTTTTATTGTTATTATTAGTATTATTATTACTGTTATTGTCATTGTTTTTAGTTATTATTATTATCATTATAATCATTATAATTATTATTATCCTTATTATTATTATTAT